AGGGGTTTTTTTGTTGGTTCTTGGTTGCAGATCTTAGAGCAGTCTGAGTTTTATGCTTTTCAGGCACCAAGGCCTTCTGGCTGCTGAGGCCTGACTTTATGCTGCTGGAGCAAACTGGAGTCAGAGACTAGAATAAAGTTTTTAGAAAAGATTCAACTGGTTTTCTGCTATAATATTCAGACTTCCATATATCATGAATTCCCTTCACTTTGAAGGTTAAACTACAGAGGTTAGAGACCATTCGCCTGAAAATACCTGATGCYAGGGTTCACTTCTCCCTACACTAACAAGTAGAAAAGATGGAGAYGAGAAGAAAAMAAACAAGCAGGCAAATGAAAWTGATCAACCTCATCGTGATTTATCATGCRATTAATTGATTTATTRCTTATCGGGACAAGCCTAGATAGGTATTAAGCAAAACATAAAGATGAGTAAAGAAAAACCTTTAAAATAAAAAAATATACAAATGGATATAGTCACCATGATTACATTTTTTGATTCGTCCATAGCTGCATCAGGTGTATGTGTGGCTATAGGTACAATGTGGGTTAAAAAAATAATAGTAAAACAATAACAAACACAAATATTCAGAGTAAATTTGATTAAAAAATTGCACGTAGATATAAAACATGGACATGTCCACAGAAAGACTAGAAAAGTTGAGACTCTATTAAAGCTTTGAAGGGCTGTAATGTGGAGGAGCCCTCWGTTCCTCTTGTTTATGTATGAATAATGTTGTGTCACATTGACAGTTGTTTTTTAGGCAGATGTATAGTAAATAATAAAATGTCCTCCCTCGCAGGAAAAACAAAAAGCGTCGTCAATCATTTAATCATCATCAAGATCATAACAGGCAACTTTTAGTCGCTCGTACGGAAGCAGCAAGAGAGCACATTCAGAATCCTGAGTAGACGCACTCCTGTTGAGTGCTGGGGAGGCTTGCAAGTGCCTGACAATATGTATGATTAATTATGTGCATCAGGGGCTCCACTGCAACACACACACACACACACACAAAGAGACAGGCACCAATGCAAATGTTGAACAAGCTATTAAGAGATGGCTGGGCTGTCAATAAGAAGTGGCATGACACGATCCCCACTGCTGGGACCAATGAGGCTGCCTGTCAGTCTCTGCACCAAGACACCAGAGAGGTGTCGCTCACTGTGGAGCTGCTGGAGGAGGAGGCTCGTTCGCTCTCACTCTAACTCAGTTTGCTGTAAAGTGATCCATTTTGATTCACCATCAGCTGTGAAAGGTGTCCCGGGTTGGCTTTTCTGCCTTCTTTTTCCACGAAGTCGTCGAGGAGGGTGTCGCGCTCTACCCCGCAGATCACACAGGAAGCAACAAGTCCGACGAAGGGGTTTCTGTCTCTCTCATAAATTTCCGGTTCTTAGTGTTTATTCTCGTCACATGAGAATATGACAGAGGATTTGTACAACCTAGCGAGCGTGGAAAATGTTCCGCGCTCGATGAGACAATTGGATGCCAAAACGAATCAGTGTTCAAACATGTAAAGAAGTCGTTCTACTTTCTCTGCCTTCTTATCCATTTAGTGTTTTAGAAGAAAGCAAAAKATGTAAAAAGGTGCCATAAAGTTTGTTGGAATGAACGTTTTTGCAGACAACTTGAGATTATCCGTCTCACTTTTTGCCTCATCTGCTGTCGCTCCGTCCCTTTTTTTTTCACCGTCTACCTYTCCTCCCACCTGTTTCACTCTTTTTTTGCCGACTGTATCGCCCCTGTCATCTTTGTGCAGCTCTATTATCCTACCCAGACTGTTTTTATCTCGCTCAGCCTTTCTTCTTTCCAATTTGCCTTTTGTTCTCCGTTGTCTCCAGCACAACCTTGTTATGTTTTTCTCCCTCAGATCCCACTTTAGAACATCTGAAGGAGATCAGGGGAAAATTGGCCTCCGAAAAAACCTGCAGTTAAAGGCTCCAGATCTCTGCAACACTGCGAAACATCCAGACTCCTCCGTCTGAGGAACAACTTGTTAGTCGAAGCATGCGTCTAGTTTTCCCCTTTGATGAGTCGACGCCGGTTGCCGGAGACACCCGCTACCAAACCTTCCCAAAATAAGCAGCTAGTTAAACAGAAGCTGGTCTCTGCTTCTTTCCTCTCATTTTCTCACACACGTCTTCGCTTCATCCTCACCAATAATCCTCTAYGTTTCTGCCCTCTCATCCCTCATCTCTGTCCCCTCCTGACTCTCACACACACACACCCTCAGACATTAGTAAACACACTCCGATTTCATTACACTGAGTAAAAGGAATTCCAAATGAACAGAGGAGGGCCACTTCTGGCGTCCCATGGCTGCAGGCGTGGGTCCAGATTAAATCTTCATTAGGTGTGGCGTATCGAGTGTTTTTGCTTCCTCCCGAGCCGTGTCAGGTTCCCCCTTCCACTCACCAGAGGGCTGGAATTAGAAACAAATGTCCCACTTCTACTGGTTAATCAGTTCGATATGGTTGGGGGGGGGGATTTTTTGACCTGGAGACTTAAAGAAAGCGTGGAAAATGTTCCTGTTCCTCTGCTTTTAACTTGTAAAACTGGTGCACAAAGTTTCAAACATCTTGCGACTTTAATCTAATCCCTTAAATCGAGAACGGCAACTTTGCCAAATGTGGCTAATTTGCTGTAAAAAAAAAACACACACACACACACAAAAAATGTCAGCAATGAAAAGATGAGTTTTGAAGGATAGTCAGCTGCCAGTTGTCAGCGTGATACCTTTAAATAACACTGACAACGTTCACGAGGAGGCAGCGTAAGCCTGTTTGGAAGAGAGGTGCACAACGGGATTGCAGGGGGCTGGAGATTGATGTGTTTTTGGAAAAGAGAGAGAAGAACACAAAGTATTAAAAGGTATAAGCTTTTCTTGGCAGCAGCTTCTGAGGATCAATTGGCTTTACAAATGACTTTCCAGCGCTACCGGCGACTCTCTGCGAAAAGTTCCCGGAGCTATAGGAACAGGGCGAGCTGTCGTAAAAATAAGCACTTAGTCRAAGAGGAGCAAAGCTCGTAAGAAAAAGCGCCGTAAATAAAAAAAGGAAATTGAAGGGAGGAAAAAAAAAATGTTGGATGAGGGAAGAAGAGAGGAAAGGAAAGTGCTCGCAGGCAAATCCTCGCCAAATAATTCATTTCTGACCTCCTTAGTAAGTAAATTTGCTAAATAAATAAGAGCAGCGCTTGAATGTCAAGAACGGAAGATGCTGCCTGTGGCGCTTTGTCGCTCGCAGTCTTGGCAGCGCTGCGGAGCGCTCTGCTTTCATTAGATGGRCAAAATAAATGGCTTCTCCTTCATCCACCCATCCTGAGCTGTTTGATGTTTGGAAGGCAGGGGAGGGGGGAGCTTTCCTCTGGATTTAATATGTTAAAAGCTGTCCTTCTATTTTTGTGTGTGTTTGTTGAATTTATTCTCGTCCGCAGTGTTTGTGAGTGTGGACGGTGAGTTGAGTCAGAAGTTTGGGGGGGGGGGGGCACGGAGCCCGAGCTGCCCTGAGAACAGATTGGGTCCATATATAATTCATAGCCTCCAGCCGATCCTCTCCATCCTTCCATCCAGCCAGCCTCTCTCGCCGCTCCTTTCTGCCCTCACTTGAACAGGCAGCGAGCGGAGGGATCGATGGGGAAGGGCCTCTCAGCCGTCACACGCTCCCGCGGTCCCAGCGCCTCAGCTGTCTGGTCCAGTTAGCTGCACTGGGAGGCATTGGCGCAGCCTGTCGGCACGAATGAAGGACAAAGGCGCTGCCACTTCCAGAGAGGAACCGTCAGCTGTTTGGCTGGCACCTCGTAACCATGGCATCCCCTTGGCAACGGCGCTGACACAAGGACACGCTCAAACACACTCTGACACACACACACACACACACACACTCTCCTCACGGTTGCATAGTGGCCTTCTCAGATGCCCTTCACACATGGACTAAAAAAAACACAAGGATGAGCGTCTGTGGGTGAAATTAGGAGTTAGTGCGGTAAAAATGTAACATTTAAATGTTCTTTAAAGCAGTGAAATTACACTTATATTGCAACAAAAGTATAAATAATACTGGTTTAATGTTTTGCCTGTTTTCTTAAAAGTGTCTCCGTGGACTTTTTCTCCATTTTTAAGGAGATCCGTGATTAGTTGTAACATTAGATTTTATTTGATAAACAAATATTTTAACTGTAAAATAAAGACTGTAAAAATACTGTAGGATGTTTAGTTTTGTAAATTTTTAAACACTCAGAAACAAAAGTGCTCTGGCCGGTTAATGTTAGATGTTTTACATTTGTGTGTGTGTGTGTGTGTGTGTGTGTGTGTGTGTGTGTGTGTGTGTGTGTGTGTGTGTGTGTGTGTGTGTGT